TTAAGGTGAGATGTTATGTATTAATTATTTAAATAATTTAGTAATAATTTTTTGTTAAAAGTAAAAAAATTTAAATTCAAATTCACAATATGTCAATAAAATAGGAGAAAGATGAGAGAAGATTATTTTTATTGTATAACTAAAATAAAAAAAATAAATGATTTATTGGTTCAAATAAAAAAATTTTGTTTCTCTTTAAATTAAATTTTTAATTTAAATTTTATAAATAAAAAAATAAGTGTTAGAATAAGTTCTTATAAGATTTGATGTAGTTGGATTTTAATTTCATTGAGAAAGAGTTAGTACTAAAAATAAAAATAAGAAAAACAAAGATCCTATGTATTTTTTTTTTAACACAACTCATTTATAAAAATTTATATTTTAACAATTTTAACGCGGAAATTTTATTTCTCATATGTAATTTAATATAAAAAACACTTTTTTTAAAAGAAAAATGAGAAACGAAGGGACAGCAGACTGCGGGCACGTGCATAAATAAATGTATTAAAAAAAAAAAAAGCCAAAGGCCGCCCAAAACGAAAACGAAAACGGAAACGAAAACGAAAACAAGGGGAGAGTTGAGGCGTACTTGGAATGTGGAAAGAAAAAGAAAACGAAAACAATACATGGAATGTGGAAAGAAAAAGAGAAATGCATTTTCAACGTGCTTAATATGCCTTTTTATTGTTTCGGCTTCTGCGTACGGTTTCTGCGGGTTACGTGTTAGAATATTAAATCCATTGAGCCCACTGGCCTCAGCCTTTTTCATATTATATAAACCAATTCTTCTCCGCTTTTTCTCCCAGAGTCCCTCTTAACCAACATTTGTATCCATCCCGAAACACAAAAAATAAAAAATGAGAAGAAACTGCAATCTGGAACTCCGGCTGCTTCCCTCCATTGATTCCGATGACCGTCGCCACTGGTACTTTCTCTTTCCTCAATTCTGTCTTTCATTCTTTGTTATGTAATTGATGAAATGAATTTAACGGTAACTAGACTTTCAAAAAATCTTTTCTTATTGATTTTTTTTTTTCAATTGAAGGATGGAAGAGACGGGCAAAAGCCCAGAAAGCCAGCAGCAACAGTTGACCATTTTCTACAATGGAAGGATCTGTGTTTGTGATGCCACAGAGCTTCAGGTATTTATTGTTTAACTGTTTGTTCTTGTTGTCAGCGAAGAAGTTAGTGCGTATAGCCACTGAGAATTGTTTACTTAAGAGAAGTTGTATGTGAAATGCAGGCGAGAGCAATTTTAACAATGGCAACTCGAGAGATAATGGGGGAGAGAATGAACTTGAAGACTCCAACGGGAACAGATCCAGTTTCGCCAACGTTGCCGTTTCAAGTCTACAGTCCGTCGGCCGGAGTTTCCATGAAGAGATCGCTGCAAAGGTTTCTTCAAAAACGAAAGAATCGGATCCAAACCACGTTTCCATACCAATTACCACACTGAAAATGTTTGATTGATTTAAAGAAGAAAAGGCTAGAGGATAATCTGGATTTCCGCTTTCCAGTGTCATCATATCAACCTTCGATCTGCAATTTCAATCCTTAATTTCTTCCTGAACAAGGGGAGTTTTTGTAAATTATTATGTACGTATTGAATTAAACGGCCTTACTGGACTCGTTATTTCATTTTATACATTTAATTTGTTCAATTGAATTTTTTATTTCATTGTGTTGTTGTGTTTGCATTTTGATTATTTAAACTCTATGAATTTTTTTTCCATTAAAGAAATTGATTACTTGTTAGCATAAAAATTAAAATTTTTGAGTTTAAATTCAAATTAAACTTTTAAAATTAACAAATACTAACATAACATGATTCTTGTTGGTGTTTATATTAACTTGATAAAGCTTCAGGCTGGCTTAATTAGTCAAAATTTCTAATGTTTTATGTTTGAACGTTAGGTTGTGTAGCAAAGAATTTGTAAAAAGGGGTTATGCCTTTTTTCACATTGTCCATCATCATATTCCTTCAAAGTACCATGCTTGACCTCACTTACGACCCCATTCTTCATGAATGCAAAAATGGGAAGCCAAGTACAATGATGCTTGTTCTTTTCTTCACATATGGATAACTTGTACACCAAAATAGTTTATTGTCAAATGCATATACCAAAAAAAAAAAAAAGCTCAGTGGCTGGCAATATGGTACACAGCGTGATGCCAATTTTTTTTTTCCCTTTAGGGGAATTTGTAATTGAGTGAAGTTATTAAATCATATATAAACAAGATTTAAATTAAAAACTTGAAGATTTTAGGATTTGTCTTTATTACTACTTTATCAAGACTTCATTAACAATTTTAATGGAATTTTATTAAGTCTTCAATTATGAGTATAGAATACCAAGTGAAGAGATAAACGTGCCTTTATTTGGGAAACAAAGTTGCTTAAGGAGAAAACTAAAACCCAGAAAAATTTTGTCCACTTGTTTTTTTGTCCTTTGGTCAGTTGTCACTTGTCTTTTAAACTTTTCTTTTTCTCAGTTAAGAAACAAAAATTGCAGGCTAGAATGAGCGGAAAAATCCAAGGAAATTTCCTCTGAAAATCGAGCAAAGTTTGAAGTGCAATACACGGGAAGCATCTTTCGATGTTAGGAAAACAAAAGATAGAAAAAAACAAGTGAAAAACATTCATCAGATTCTTTTTTGAAAAATGAATAAATTTAGTCAAATGGGACACTAAGTCCCACAAGCCGATTAATAGATGTATTCAAAATCTTAACACTGATTACCCTATTATGTTAAAAGTTTCTCATCCTTCTCTCCCCAAATAGTAGTTGTTAAAAAATAAAGGATTTAATCAAATGCGGATCACGTTAAACCTAATAAATTAATGAAAAATTATATTATCGTTAATCTTTCAAAATAATTGACCCCTAATTAATTAGACGGAAAGCAAATCTTTATCAACCAGTTGACAGCTGTTTGAGACAAAGAAAACATCAAGTCATGTCCAAGAAATTTCTGAGAAACAACAAAACTACGGTGAAAATAACACGTGATAACTGATAACATTCCACCGCTAATTGTTTTGTCGGCATAATTTCACACTTGTTTCCTCAAAAATTCTTAATTAGTAATTTTTTATGGGCAGAATTTAAATGCAAGCGTACTATTTATTTTGTTAAAAAAAAAAAAAGAGGATTTTTTCAATAACTTTCTTTTTTTACGTGATTAACCTCATTTAAGATGACTGAAAGAACGTTGATTTCAGATTAAATTCTATGTTCTTTAAATGATTTGCAAGAAAGAGAAATGCCTTTATGCAAAATAAGTTGTTAATTTACTTTGGACAATCTTAAAAACATTACCAATACCGTGAATTTAAAGTTAATAAATCATAAATAAACTAAATAAAATGCAAATTAGAGTAAACTTGATATTCATGTGAGGAAATCAAACAAGCAATTACACAAACTAATTTGATTACTTGAATGCTAAAAACAACTTAAATCTATTAGGATCTCTATTGAAATTGAAATTTGTAAGTTAAGATGGACAATCACTACGAAACTAGAAAATTGAAATTTTAATTAGTTCTATGTAAGGCTAGCCATCATGTGTTGAAAATTTTGAAAGCTTTTTTTTATACACTTCTTATACACTGTCATCTTGCTTCACCCACTAACTCTTATAAGATCTTGGATAATTTCTTGGAAAAAATAATGAGCACATAAGCAAATTACTAGGATCAGGTTAAGGCTATATTAAATCTTGTCACATATACAATTCTGTTGCTACCTTAACCACTTAACTACATTTCCTAAATTACAGGAATTTTTGTTCTTTTTTTTTTTTTTTAATTTAAACTACAACCTACCATATAATCTCTACCATTCCCCAAAATCAATTTTACATATTTGAATCTCAATAGTAAATCTAATGTGACCACACTTCATCCATTAACATGCGATATCACTTAAAAAATTACAATTTATTGCGTAAACAACACCATATGCAAATTTAGGCAGTACTAAAGTCAATCAAATTTAAAAAATAAAATAAAACATTTTTTTTAGATCAATTTTTTGTTTTAATCTATGTCTTAAATGGTATCATTAGGAGCGCTATTATTGTCAAACTATTATTTTTAAGGTAAGAACAAAAATTTAATAGAATTAGTATTTATTAATTTAAATTTTATAATTTAAGATAAAAGTTAAAGATTTAAATTTTTTTATATTAAGTAACTAACTTTTTAATATATTAAAAAATATTTTTTGTTAAGATCACAAAATATTATTTAATTACAAAAAATAATTAATAATTATAATTATTAATTAATAAATTAATTGATATTTATTATTTAATAAATTAAAATAAACTTATAAACTAATATTTTTTAACACTTAACTGTTTAAGGAAGAAGAACTATAAAAATATTGATAAAATTATTCAAAACGAACACAATTATTACATTATTTGTCTGGCATTAACATAAGGCGATGCGGCAATAACCAACCCAAGCATTAGGGATAAAACATGTTTTATTAACTGAATCCCATAAACACGGTGCCCAAAACAAGTGGTACTAATGGAGATTGGAGCATTTAAGCTCTCTTTTACGCAAACCAAGATTAATAACGAAGTGTAGCTAAATACAAGACACAAGTTAAAAGAGCAGCCGTAAATGAAAAATAGAATTCCTTGTCATTACATGACCTAAATTATTCCAAATATTGATACACAGACCATGGTGGTTATTCTAGTAGCAGATAGTCTGTTGAAAGGTTTTTTCATTTTCTAATAAAAGGGAATAAAACCTGCCTTATAACCTGGCTAAGGCACCTGCAGCACGAGGAGGATCCCAATCAGTCACAATGTGGTTACGAGTAATCTCCTTAAGGGAGCGGCATCCACTTAATGCCATGGTAAGCTCGAATTCATCGCGAAGCATCTGCAGAACTTTCCTAACACCAGCCTCGCCTTCAGCAGCTAATGAGAACACTACAGGCCTGCCAATCTAAAATGAGGACAGTATCCTAGTGTTAATATCTGCTAATAAGAAGTCGTCAGGACCAGGCTACATGCATTTCTTTTTTTTTTTTTTACTTTTTGAGGGAAATTAACCATAACATGTTGATGCTGTTACTTACAAATATTCCAGATGCTCCCAAAGCTAATGCCTTGAAGACATCTGTTCCACGCCGAACACCACCATCAAGGAAAACAGGAACTCTGCCTTGCGCTGCTTTAACAACCTGTAAGTTAGCAGCAGAAATTTAGTACACAAGACATTAAAAACTGTAACAACGTTCACTTGATGATTGTAAATTGTCACTTCTATGCCAATAAAAGCAAAGGTATATACCTCTTCCAAAGCCATAATAGTTGCCGGCACATAATCAAGCTGGCGAGCTCCATGGTTGGACACAATGATTCCTGCAGCTCCAGCTTGGATGGCTAGCCTTGCTGTGTTGTTAAGTACAATTACACAAGCTAAATAGAGAACAAGAATCCAAAAAATAAACAGAGGGAAGAAAGAGTTTTATTCTGTTCTATGGAAAAGTTTGCTTACCATCCTCAGCAGTAATGACACCCTTCACTAGAATTGGCAATGAGGTGATTGTCTGAAGCCACTTCACATCCTGTTTTATTGCCCAAGAAAAAAGAAATGTTATCACAAGACTTCTATGTTACTGATTGAGAAAGCCGAAAACTCAAATGGCCACATACTTTCCAGCTAAGTGATTGGTCATTTTGGCTAGCAGCATATGAAGCCAGTCCAGGGTCATTGATCTGCAAGGTAGACACAGAACATTGTGAGAAGACTAAATAAATTGAAGATCATGCAACAATGATCAGTCACTATAGATCACCTACCCTATCCATTTTGCCAAGATCCAAGCCCTCAAAGTTCTTCAGAGTCAAATATGGTGGCAGGGTAAATCTGCAAGCAAACCCATGAATGAAAAAATAACTTTCTGGAAAAAGTAGAGTGGCTTAAGTCTTGTCCATTTTTTACTTCAATGCTTCTTTAGTTCAGCAAACAGAATGTGTCGAAGAAGAAAAATATTAACACTATCAGGCTCACTTAACAAACTAATTCAATTAACACACAACATAGCTAAATATTTCATGGCCATTTTTTCTTCTCTTCTTCTCAATGTAACTCTTGGAATTAATGTCAACCTGTTTTTGATATCAGCCTCTCTGCGACCTAGCCTTGGAGTATCCACAGTAAGGACAATTGCCTTGAAACCTGCCCTTTCTGCTCTCCGTACGAGCTGTACAACCACATTCCTGTCTTTGTACACCTGAATAACAAGTTATCATGATTTATTATGCAATGGTATTAAATTTTAAGAGTCAACTTATTGCAGTCCTTCAGAAAATGTTTACACATAAACAATGTGGAATTTAGGGATTAGAAAGAAGCTTAGTCTAATTCATTGTTAAGAAATTAACTTGTGCCCATTTGTAAGTTGTAAAAAATAAAAAATAAAAAATCTCATTTAATTTTCATGAAGAAACACTAGATAATTATTATATCAAACTGCCAAAGACAAAGGGATAAAAGTGCACGAACTTAAGCATAATCTCCCAACTTACATAGAGCTGGAAAAACCGAATGCCAGGTCCTGTTGAAGCAACTTCCTCAACACTGGAAGTAGTCCATGAGGATAGTGTCTGATGCAATAACACAAGTGATTGAATCAAGCAGAATGCAGACACGGATTTTCATTATAATTACAACAAGAAAACATAGAGAAAAGCTGATCAGTGATCACTAGTGCATGATGGAATCAAGTTGACAATATGAATGATCTCATAAGATACAGAATCTTTAAAAGTAAATGACAAGGGAAAGAAGAAGAAGTAAACCATTATTGTTCCTGCAGCTGAAGCTGCCCTTGCAGTTGCACACTCCCCTGCATAGAGAAATACTCTCACAGATTCAGTTATTGATAAAGGCCCTTCTTGTTAATCCATTACAGGAAAAGGTACCAAAAGAAGAGAGTGAATGAGATAGGGAAGGAACTGCATCAATTACTACATCAAAACAAACACAAGAAGATGGAAAGTTCATGAGTTCTAAAACACAATTCAGTTAGTCAATCCTTAAAAGTGAAGTACAGTAGCAAAATAGGTGACACAAAATTGGGTGAAAAGCAGAGTATTAGTCTAATTCAGATTTCTCCAAACTCCTAACGAGCAGTAGGAAACACATCATCCACAAACACTTAGAAATAACAAGAAGCAAATTCAAAGAGAACTGGATAAAAATCAGAAGCATTTACCTTCAGGGTGAGCCATTTTTTGCATGGCTGTTGGGGCAATCATAATTGGCATTGAAATCTTGAATCCCAATACAGTTGTAGTCATGTCAATCTTGCTTACATCAATGAGAATGCGAGGACGGAACCTGTTTGTATGGAAAGAAATACCTTCTCATAACTGAATATAACTAAAAGAAAGGAAAACTTGTGAGTAAGAAGAAGAGCTTACAAAATCCTAGAGAATGCATTTCGATTCTCCTTAAGAGTCCACTGATCCTCTGCACCTGAAGCATAGTAGTCAAAAATCATCTTGGGCAGCTTCTCCTTTGCTATGGCCTCATACTCAGAAACATTAGTTATCTCCATCTTGTATACTTGGGATACTTTGTTCTACACCAAAACACCTAAACAAAATTTCAGGTAAACTGAAATGAATTAGAAAGGCAAAAATTTCATTCTCAAATCTCCACAACATCCGAATTTAATTAAGATTTGATCAAGACCCATCCAAGAATTCATTAATTAATGAATATCTAACTCATAAAACTAATTATTTAGATTCAGTATTGTCAAAAGTAAAGAACTGGAAACACAAATCAATACCGGAAATCAGTTCAAATCCATTATCAACAGCATACTAATGAACACATTCACCAAAGTTATATTATAGAACTAAACCATGATCAGAATTCAGAAGATTAACCATAAGAACCAGAGATGGAAGCAGAAAAGAATTTAAAAAACTAAAAGAATTGAAGAGGAATGAACAGACCTTTCCCTCGTCCACCAATAGGGGTAGAGAGAAGGAAACTAAAGGGGTTGAAAATAATGGTGATGGGAGTGAGGGAGGGAGTTGTGAAATGTATGTCAAATGGACAATTGACAGTAAAAAACCAAAATGATGACAGAGGAAAAGGATAGAGATTATACTAAAGAATGGAAGGTGATGACAAAAGGTCAAGGATTTGAAAAATATTAAGAGGAAAAGTCTGGATTGGCTGTTCAAGGCGAGAATTTACGGCAAAAATCTACTTTAGCCCCTCATCTTACAAAGTTTAAATGTTTTAATTCTTTATCTTATATTATAATACTTTTAACTCCTAACCTTATTAGATCTATAAGTTTTAACCACTCATATATTAAAATCAAAGAAAATAACTCTTACTTTATATTAATTATTAACTCTGTTAGTTAGAAGTAAATTTTTATCAATTAATAATTAACTAATAACCAATTAATAAAATTAACAAAATATTATAGAGTTAGTTCTGTTAATCTGCTAGCTAAAAGAAAGTTTTTGACAATTAATAATTAATTAATAGTTAATTAATATAGTTAATAATTAATTAAGAAAATTAATAAAATATTACAAAATGAGGATACTTTTTTTAAATTTTAATAAGTGAAGGATTAAAATGTCAAATATAAAATAAAAAATTAAAACTTATAAATTTAATAAAATTAAAGATTAAAAATATCACAAAATAATATAAAATTAAAAATTAAAATTTTTAAACTTGAAAAAAATGAGAGATTAAAAATAAGTTTTTATTGAAAATTGCGGCCAAATCTGTTTCATGGACTCGTCACACTCGTACGGAGAGCGCTGGATATCGGCCAATTATCATTGCCACGTTTTCCTTTTCCTCATCGCCAACCTTCAAAATTTTAAAAAAAAATTATATTACGTAATTTAGAATATATAAAATTATAAAATTAAAATATTATTAAATAAAAAACTACTTTCTAACATTGGGTTTTTTTTTTATTTAATAAATTTTATTTTATAATCTCATATAGTTACATTCTAAATGTGATTCTCCTTCCCTTTAATCCCTTCATTTAACTTAAATTCATTTAATATAATTGTAGTTTTAAATTTTTTACTTTAGTTAATGAAAATTTAAAAACTTTAAAATAAAATTAAGTAATTCTATAATTGATTAAGTTTGTAATTTTGGATATTTGTTTTAAAATTTTATATCTAATAAATTAATAATTTTAATTGTTTGAATTTAAAAAATCAAAATAAAACTCAAAACCACACCATGAAGCCTTAATTATCTATTTTTTAAAAATATTATTTAATACACTTATTTTTATTTTATTTTTATTTTTAAAAATTAATTATAATATTTAAAAATATTTATTTAAAAACAGATTTTAATATTTCAAATAATAAAGATTTACTATTTTATAAGTTATTAATTATTTTAACAGTTAAATTAAAATAAAATTTTAATAATTTTTAT